ATTCAACACTTGAGACGTACTCGACTTCTCGAGTGTCTTCATGAGCACCGTTCTGTAACATCAACGGTTCATTGAAGCAGTCATGAATTATGTCCCCATTATCAGTAGCATCATAAGAAAGCAATGATGCTTGCTTGCAATACTGTCAAAAAACCTAACGATAAGTCAGTCGTCGTTGCCCATACAGAGATAACAATCCGACTGTCCGATCCGTAAATGAATACTCGAAGTGGACAACGATCACTGAGTGGTCAACACCATCCAGAAATGGATGAGATTATTGTGGAAGATGAGGACACGGAGATGTCACAGTACGGCATTACACCTGAAGAGGACGAAGATGAAGAGGTGGAGGAGGAGATTGTCGGCGAAGAGGGCATCGTTAAGCCATCGATGATCGGTACACGCGCTGAGAAGTCACTGGGTCTGCTCACACAACGATTCTTGCGATTGCTGCAGACTACACGCAGCGGTATTGTTGACTTGAACACGGTATGCAATTCCGTTTTATTTTCATTTTGTAAATCGCTAAATGAGGCCGTATTTCTTCTGATCATTTACTTTTTTGGATTATCGTTCGAAGTCCGAATATGAAACTCACCTGAATTTTTTTCCAATCGTGAAACTGAGTCCGAAAACACCTTCCTGCAAATGATCTGATTGTCGTTCAAGCATTTGCGGTTCTCTATCGGGTAATCAAAATTGTTCCACAATATCAGTATTTCTCAAGTTGTTGAATCGGTGATAAAAACGATATCCATTTAATTCATTCGTACATCTGCATCATCGAACTGAATCCGTTATTGTTACGTTAATACGGAGAGTTCACTTCAATGAATCGATGTGTTTTTCAAGGCTGCTGAAGACTTAAACGTAAGACAGAAACGTCGTATCTATGATATCACAAACGTCCTCGAAGGTGTTGGCTTGATTGAGAAAAAGTCAAAAAATATCATTCAATGGAAGTGAGTTCACCAGTCATTCAATTTACTCAAAAATTGTTTAAAAATTTCTAAAAGCGTGGAAATCAATGCGAAAAACATTGAAAGTGTCAACCACTTGATTCTCGAAACCTGTTTGTGTGTTCTGTTTAACGCTGAGCAGAGAGCTTGTTCTTTTGTATTGTCATCCACAATATGTGCCAT